TGAGCGGGAACCGGTCTGTACGTGGGATCCGAACCCTCGGGCGGGAGCGCCGCCGCGCCTCCCAAGCGGCACACTATCCAGTGCGCCACCAGGCCGGCCCCTACATTTTTAATCTTTTAAAAGGACATTTTTCATGTCAGTAAATGTAGAGCTACATTTTGGGGGGGGGCGACTGGCTGGTACAGGAATCCGAACTGGTGACCTTGGGGTTATAAGGCTGTGCTCTAAACAGTAGATCTACATTTTGGATGCCTGGCTGGTTTACCAGGCTTTATAAATGTGTCCAGCTCCCTGGGGATGGTAAGTTAAGGTTGTTTACACCACTTTTGCTAAGGATAGGCTACACTGCAGTTCACACTTCTCTGGGCACCTGGCCCCCATGTTTATTGGCTATTCATATTTCTTCTCATATAGATTCCTTCCTTTGCCCACTTCTTGGTATGCCTTCTCAGTTACTCAGCCCTAAGATCTGAGAGAGGGCTGAGTTCGTGTCCTCCCCAAGTTGTGTTGAAGCAGCCCTCTTGGAGCCTGGTCATTGCTGCCTGTGGGTGGCCTCTCAGGAGCCCATGCTATCCCCACGGACAGATGGAGGCCTGCAAGGATGCTGACTGCTTGTTCCCTGACATGCTGGCCTTGCCCCCTGGGCCTGGGCTCTCCTCTTCTGAGCTGGGGCAGGAAGAAGAGATCCAGGCAAGGTCTGCGCTTCTAGAGGACCCCAGACTGCTGGCCTCACCCAGGCACTGAGGGAGGTGGAGAAGCAGCCCTTCTAAGTGCATCTGTCTGTGTCCGTGGCATGGCTCTCCTGAGCCCATAAATGGGAACTTTCCCCTACTTTCTCCCCAAGGAGTTGTCTGACTCATCTCAGGCTGAAGGAAAGTGGCTGCTTTAGAGGCAGGAGTTGTAGCACCGTGTGGGGAGAGTGTGGGACAGGATCTTGCAGATTCACTCAGAGAGGCCTTAAGTGGTTACTTGAGGCCTCAGCTTCCCAGTGGTAACAGCGGGCGAGTCGGAGGCCTCCCAAGCCCCTCCTGCTCTCTTGTTGGACGTTATCCCTGTGTGGCCCTGCAGGGCACCCAGCCGGTCAGGCGCTCCTTGCTGTGGGGCTGCTTCACCTGGAGGCTGGGGGAAGGGCAGTGGTCAGGACCCACTAAGGGGTTCCCCAAGTTGGACTGAGCCACATTCCTCTCTGATAGCAGCACTGCTGGTTTCCTCATACGTCCCTCTCTTGTGGAATGAGTTCTAGTGTCCAGCCAGGCTTCCTGCTGAGAGGGCATCCTCCATGGCTCAGCAAAGGGCAAGAGAAGCTTCCTCCCACACAGCTGTCAGCCAGGAAGGGAAGGAACCGCTTCCAGATGTTGAGGCAAGATAGGACATCCGGTGGCCTCTGAGGTTGGACAGCTCAAAGGCCCGAAGAGACTCCTGACTCTTCAGTGTGGTGTGGGGCTCAGTTCAGGTGGTCCCAGAAGCCCTGGAGTCTGTTGTATCCTGGTGACAGCAGTGCCACATGTTCAGAGCCCAGGGAGATCCTAGAGTTGATTAGGTGGTCAGCCCTGCTGTGTACCAAGATGCTGGCATCTCAGGAGAGCCAGCCCCTAACTTGCTGCCCAGCTCTTGGGAGGTTGCGGAGGACAGAATTCTGCACTGTACAAAATAGCACCCAGAATTTGGAGGGGCATCCAAGATGCTGGCATCTCAGGAGAGCCAGCCCCTAACTTGCTGCCCAGCTCTTGGGAGGTTGTGGAGGACAGAATTCTGCACTGTACAAAATAGCACCCAGAATTTGGAGGGGCATAGGAGCAAGTCCTTAGGACACTTCCATCAGCTCCCAGATGGCCTGGCATTGCTCGATATTTTCTCTGCTTATCCAAGAGGCAGGAGATCCAGGCAGCCAAGTGGGTAACTAGGTCTGCCTGTACCAGCTTCAAGGGAGTTGTCTGCATGCCCAGCTTCCACTTGTTTTCTACAACGACTCTTGGGTGCCATCCTTTCCTTTCCTAAGGGGACCCAGGCTCCCCTCTCTGGTTACTCACCCCTCCCCGCGGTCCTGTGATGTCCTGCCCCCACCCTAACCTCAGGCAGCCGTGGCTCAGGCTGGGACAGCCGTGCTCGTGCTCCTCATGTGTCACAGGTGGGCCGCCTTCCCTGCAATCTTGGCCTCCTGGGCAACTGGCCCACAAGCAGGAGGATGCATGTCATTTTCTTAACCAGTCTGTGGGAAGCCAGCTTTGGGGTTACTGCTGTATGGGGCCTTCTGGCAAGTGCCAGGGTTCAGGCAGCTACCTGGCACCTGAGGGCTCAGCTTGTAGGTTATGTACCTCTAGACTTATGAGGCTTGTAACAGAGGGAATGGGAGGGATGGAAATGTTTAAATGGGGGCAAAGCATCAGCTGGGTCTCATCCATTGGCTTCTTTGAAGAATCATACAAGGACAGGACTGGAGACCACACTGACTTTGGTTTTTATGTATCTTTACATCCTGTATTATCTGATCCTCACAACCACCTGTGACTTAATCATCTCTGTCCTATAGCTAGATGAGATCACTGAAGCCCAAAGAAATTGAGCAAAAATTTATTAGGTTCCTCCTCCTCCTGTTAGGAATTCCGCACTCTCCCAGTAAAGGGGAAGGGCAGATTGTTGGCACCAGTGCCTCCAGCTGCCAAGACCCCCCCGGTAGAGCCTGACACGTTTGGATTGGGCTTAGTGGAACATAATACACCTGTATAACCTTCCCTCACTTGAACCGCTGTCCTGCGGAAGAGGCAGGTCAGATGGTGCTTTCCCATTTTGGGGATGAAGAAACTGATGCTTAGAGGTGAGTAGCTGGCCAGATGTCTGCCAGCCAGTCAGTGACAGAACCAGGAATCCAACAGGGTCACTGAAGGCTGTGTTTACCAGGCTCCTCCAGTGTGGGGGAGGGGGGGACTGCACAGCTGGCTCCTGACGTTGGCTTCTCTTGCAGGTGCGTTGGTACCCTTCCTCTGACGCCACCCAGCAAGGATGGAAGTATCGGCAGTTCTGTTAGTTCTTCAGTAAGTGTTGGACCCAGAGGCCCAGGACGAAAAGTACCCTTGGCTCTGGCTTTCTGCAGGGCAAGGGCGTCCCAACCTGAGAGCCTGCTAGCACAGGGTGCGCCTAGAGCTTGTTCACTGGGGCATCTGGCTGGCTTTTTCCCTTCTCCTCCCACCCCTGCAACCACCTGCCATCCGCCTGTGCAGCCACCTCACGAAGGGAAGGAAAGCCTGGGTTCGGCTCCAGCCCGTGCCTCTGCTCACGACCACCTCTCTCCCCTCCCTCTAGGTCTCTTCACCAGGGATTTGTTTCTGGGAACCTGTGTGGTGGCGCCCGAATAGGTGCCCTGAGCTTCTGCTGCCCGCAGGCGGCCTATGCAGAACCTCCACTTCCTTCCAAAGACTGTGAATCTTAAGCCTGACTCAGTGGACTGCTTCCTGTTTCCTTTCCTCCTCTTCCTCAGCCCTGTTCCATCCCAAAGCCTTTCTCCAAGGCCTCCCAGGAGGGTTTGGGGGCCTTCTCACTGGGGTACCCATATCCAGCGCGGAGTCCTCAGTGGGACCCAGCCAGGCCTGACCTCTTGCCTAAACTTGCTTCTGTAGCCGCACCTCCAGGAAACAAAGCATTGAATTCTGCATGGTTTCTGGCATGAATGAAGACACTTAAACTTGTATATATGTGAGTGTACAGTTTGTTCTTACACTGTGTCACTGTAGCAACAGGTCCTGGCCACTAATGGTTCATCATGCCTGGTCCCTCTCTCCACACCCGTCCCCACACCCCCCTTGCTCAGGGAGGACTGAGTCCTGCAGCTGGTTCTGCCCTGATGGCCCAGCGCCCCCCAGCGCTCACACACACACTTGCAGGCTCAACAGTAACCGTGACCACCCAGCAAGTATACAGTGTTTGCTTTTTCATTTCAAATCGGGGTCCTCCGCTTCCTTCTTCCCAGATGGGCTGACAATTGTCAGAAAAGCCTTCCTCTACGCGTCTTGCTTACCTCTCCACAACGCACCCACCCCTGCCATCACTCCTCTTTCTTTCCAAACCTCAAAACCAACCAAAACGTGAAAAGTATTTTTGTACCCTGTGTAACAAAATATTTATGCATCATAAAGGACTTTTCATGTGTGCGTACCATTAATTATTAAAGAGACCTTGTTCACCCTGTCAGATAAGTTTAATGTTTAGTTTGAGGCATGAAGAAGAGAGTTTCCGTTCTTCAGCAGTGAGCCTTTGTGTCAGGCGTTAAGAAAAGAAAAATGAAATGAAGGAAAAATCGTGCAATTTTATTTTGTTTTGTGAGCATATCAGTGCTTTATCGTTGGTCACAGCTGCGGCTGTCTTGCTGTTTCAGACTTGGGAGACTCGGTGGCTGTTGTAATTGCTGATCCTGTGAGAATGTGAAACTGGATAATATATGAAATGAAAAATAAAATCATCCCAAGCGACTGCTCTCTGGCCTTTGCTTCCATCTTCCCTGGGTCGCTGACTGTCACTCAGAGGGCATAGCCAGAGAGGGGTTGAGAGTGCGGGGGACGGGAGTGAGGTGGCCCGGCTGTGTCTGGCCTGGTGACTGTCAGGGTGGGAGGACCTTGGGGCTCACTTAGCCTCTCCCTCCTTCCCTCTTTAGGATGGCTTAAGAAACAGAGTCCTGGAGGGGAAGTGACTTGTCCAAGGGCCATACAGCTGGAGACCATGTCTGTCAGCCTGCCCTGTGCTTGCTGTATTCGTTTTCTCATTTTCAGAGATCTGAGGTAGGGATAGATATTCCCTGGGCCCGGCATAAGCACCCAGACAAGACTTTGTTTTCTCAGGGGCTGTTTTCTGCGTCACTTAACCCTTTCTGGCCTGTAGTCTTTTCAAGCTCTCCAGTAGAAAAGAACTGAGGTTTGGAGTGGTGGGCTCCTCCGTGGCGTGTCTGTCCTTGGTGTATATCTTGTGACTGGAGGGAAGGATAGGACCCAGGAATCTTGCCCAGAAAGTGTTAAACTAATCCACTCTAGACTGTGGACTGCAGCTGTGATTCCTGGGAGCGGAGCAAATGGGTGTGAAGGTCAGAGAAGCCGTGCGGTGCCAGGAGGCTGGGCCGGGCCAGGTGTCAGGACCTGCAGCGGCCCTGATTCCTCCCTTTTGTGATGTGGGGTATCAGTTTCCTTATCTGTGAAGTGGTTTGAAATCCTTTCCAGCTCCTCCTAGGGGGTTGGAGTGCTGAACTGATAGTTTTACTGTGTTTTTCTGATTCCTCCCTTTTGTGATGTGGGGTATCAGTTTCCTTATCTGTGAAGTGGTTTGAAATCCATTCCAGCTCCTCCTAGGGGGTTGGAGTGCTGAACTGATAGTTTTACTGTGTTTTTCCCATCCATGCCCAGAGAGAGCTGCCCTGCACCCCACCCTCACCCCACCTAGAAGGGGAGAGCAGGAGAGCCCCAGAGCCCACCCCTGCTGGGTCATTCCAGCCTTGCTCTGAGCAAAGCTGAAATAGCTGTAGTTGGCCCTGGTTGCTTCCTCACCCGCACCTTGGGTGACCCTAAGTGTCTCTCTCTACTCCCTGCCTCACCCCTTCTGAATCCCAGTCCTGCACTGGGAGACTTGGGTCTAAGGTGTTCACTTCTGATGAATGTGTCAGCTGTCAAAGGTTTAGGGGTGACACGTGCAGCCCAGGTGCTGTGAAGGATGGAGGAGCTTAGTTAGACACAGGCCCCCGGAGGGAGGCTCTGGGAGGAAGGGAGTTGATGGCTGTGTTTGTGCCAGGAAGAGGCGGGGGTCGATGCCTTTCTGCCTTGTGCCCCTCCTCACTGCAGTATTTGGACCAGCTGGGCAATTGCCACACAAGCAAGGCCTTGCCAGCCTGCAGCCCCGCCTGGCACCCGTGGGGAAGCTGCCATGAGCCCCACAGCCCCCAGCTAGGGCCGAGCTGATGCCTGACCTACTTCATCTGTGTCAGGAACCACTGGGTCTTCCTGAGGTGGTGAATTATTTAGCTGGGGCGCTTGGGCCTTTCTGACAGGCTAAGAAAGCTGCTGCTCCATAATTTAAAGGCCCCTGTGCCTGTGGCTTCCCTGGGGGGCCTCCACGGTTTACCAAGCAGGGCCCAGGCCTGGGTCTGAGAGGAGCCATGGAAGGGGAGGGAGGCCCTGCAGCCATTCCAAAGGCGGCTCTCCAGCTGGACTAGGGGCTTTTCTCAGGGTGGGACTGCTGCAGAAAGTCGTGTTTGCACTGAGCTTGAGCTGACCAGCCTCCAATGTTTCCAGGCCTCCTGGTGAGGACACAGTATGCCTGGTGTAGAAGCAGTGGATCCTGGCCCCCTGTCCCATGCTCTCTCCAGAAAGTAACTGTTCCTTTCCCGAAGTGTTTACTTTTGGTCTCTGGTGGCAGGTGAAAGGCTTCTTTCCTTTCTGAAAGGGATTTAGGCACTGCAGAATAACCAGGGTTCTTTCAGTCAGGGGCCCCTCCCCAGCAGCACTAAGACCTCCCCTGGCAGAAGAGGCCTCCTTAGCGTGTATTCCTCCTCCCCCAGCAGTGAGGCCTGGGCTGAGGAGATGACTGCCAGGCACCAGGAGCCCCTGCTGCCCTCTGTGCCCAGCCAGACACTGCCTTGATGTCCTACAACAGAGATGGTGCTCTTCACCCTGACTGGCTGTTCTTGGGTGCTGCTGCCGGGCCGGCATATTTCAGGGATGTGACTTTTAACTTGGAGCCTTCACAGGAGAGCAGGTTCCCAGGTTCCAGGCTGTGTGGCCTGGCATTAAGCATCCCTGGGAATCAGGGTAAAAGCGCCGGCTGCATGGGGCCCCTGCAGGGGTCTTAGGAGGGACCAGGACTCACTCATTCCCCACCCTGCCCTGCCTGTCCTGCAGGTGCCCTGCAAAGCTCTATTTCCTGAGGTCTTGAGTAAAGCCTTTTTGATCTTGAGGAGTTCTCTGTAACAGTGCAAATATCCATGAGAAACAGGGCTAAGCCCCTCATAGTAGGATTAGAGAAAGTGCCAGAAGAGGACCCTGGAAGGGAAGTGTGAAAAGGGGGGAGACTTTCCTGCAAAGATATCAGGAGGCGGGAACAAAACTTCTCTACCAGCTGCAGGCTTCCCCTGCCTCTTCATCCCTCCGTGCAGGCCTCCACCCGGTGGGTGCCTCCAGGAGAGCAGGCCCATCTCCCTGACACATTCTGTCAGGCACAGAGGAGGGGATAGAAGAGGGAGAGGCTGGGCAGGTCACCGCGCTGACAGTGTTCCAGGGCTGACTGGAAAGGGGCATGAGCTCCTGACGCATTTCCCCTGGCCCCCTTGACCATCATCCAACCCACGCACACCCTCTGTGGGTGCCCTGTGGCCTCTGGTTGGGATGAGTGAGTGGGAGTCCCTGCCAGAGTTTGGAGGGAGGTCAGTGAATGAGGTCAGGTACCCCTCGGCCATTGTCTTCATGACCTTAGAGCAAACCACTTAACCTGTCTTTCTGAAGGGCCCTTCAGATGACCCTAGAAAACTGGAATCAGAGTGTTAGCATTTGAGAATATTTTGTCCACTCCCTTCTCCCATTTTACAGATGAGAACATTGAGACACAGAGAGGCTCTAATGGTTTGCTCTAGTGGTTTGCTCTAATGTCATGAAGACAAGGGCCAATGCATGCTCAACTCATGTCTCCTGACTCCCGGTCCAGTGTTCCTTCCACCACCCCACATGGAGACAGAAGACGCTGGATGCCACAGGCTTTGAAGCCTCTCCCTGCACTTCCAGAAGCCAGGACTAAGAGCTCAGGTCTGCTGACTGTGGTCCCCTTCCTATCATTGCCACATTCTGCTTTCTTTTTTTTTTTTTTTTAAAGATGACCGGTAAGGGGATCTTAACCCTTGACTTGGTGGTGTCAGCACCACGCTCTCCCAAGTAAGCCACAGGCCGGCCCCCACATTCTGCTTTCTGTCCGAGGTATCTTGGTCTAAATATGACTTGATCTTTCCCTGGGATATTGGGTCCTGCTCCCAGATTAAGGGACAAAGAAGCCCTCAGTGACCCATCCAGCTTCAGCCCAGCCCTATGCAGTCTCTCTGGCCTTTCTCCCCAGGTGTTAGGCTTTTTGCGCCTGCAGGACTCATGGTCCTCAGCTTATGCAAGAACCAAGATAGTGTATCTCCATTTCTGCCTGTAGTAGAGAAAATGCAACACAGTTTAGTAGGAGGAGTCTAAGATAAGGAATGGCTATCTCATTCCTTAAAAGCCTATTGTTTTCCCTTTGAATGTATATTTCTTTATGACTCTGTGGCCTTCCCTCACAAGGTTATTAGGGGAGTTAATGACAGCAGGAGAACATGCCTAACGCATAGCAGGTACTCACTAAATGTTTTCTATGGCTATTTTAACAGAACACATTTTCATATTCCTCTCATCCTTAACAATAAATAAAATTGAGTTGATTCTGATTTATGCACACCTTGACTACTTCTTTCTCTCTCTCTTTTTTTTTTGTGGGGATCCAAACCTGTGACCTCGGGGTTATAAGGCTGCACTCTAATCATCTAAGCTAACCGGCCAGACTTCTTTTCTTTTTTTTGTGCCTGGCCGGTATGGAGATCTAACCCTTGACCTTATAACACAGCGCTCTAACCAACTGAGCTAACTGGGCAGCCCTTGCCTGTTTCAGTGACTATTTTCCAATGGATCAATAGTCACTGAAAGGTTTTTCATTGCACATCCTACCTGGAGGAGGGGTGGGGGAAAAGACAGGGCAAGAGCTCAGGAATCTCAGATAACATCTATAAGTCCCAGAGCTAGTTTTTGGCACTTTGCACCGGATCTCACTGTAGCCTTTTATAAGACCATTTAGGATTTCACGGTTCTGACCATACTAGTAGTAGCAGGAATACTCATATACTGCTTTAGAATTTTCAAAACACATTCACACATATTGTCTCTGATGATTGCCATAAAAGACCCATAAGATAAGCAAGAAAGGCATTACCATCTACTTTTTACAGCTATGGAAACCGAAGTTAAAAAGGTCCCACTGAGACGGCTGGCCGGTTAGCTCAGTTGGTTACAGCCTGGTATTACAACACCAAGGTCAAGGGTTCAGTTCCGGGCCGGCCCGGTGGCGCACTGCTACAGTGCGCTGCTTGGGAAGCGCGGTGGCGCTCCCGCCGAGGGTTCGGATCCCACATACAGACCGGTTCCCGCTCACTGGCTCAGCGAGGGGCGGGCGCAACACTGAGGGTTGTGATCCTGTTGCCGGTCCCGGTCCAGTACGGGCGTGACACTGAGGGTTGCGATCCGTTGCCGGACACGAAAAAAGACAAAAAAAAAAGGGTCAGTTCCCTGAACCAGCCAGCTGCCAATAAATAAATTCAAAAAGTTAAAAAAAAAAAAAAAGGACTCAGAAAGCAGAAGGCTCCATTCCCAGGTTTTCTGGTTCTCTATCCTGAGTTAAATGATTCTCTGTGATTCTAGGCCCTAGATTCC